AAAAAAAAAAGAAAGAAAAAAAAAAGAGAGCTGGAAGTTTGGCAAGGATAATCTCTATTTATATTTGCATATAAAGAGAGGCGAGTCTCACTGTTGTTGTGTTCACATTGTACTCACTGCTAACTCTGTGTAATTTGAGTGCTTGTTGTCTTTGTACAATTTTAAGGTTGTGTCTAACTTTCAAAATAAATTTTTTTTAAAAAAGCTTCTCACCGTAATAATGCTATTAGAGTTTAGTCTCTTTTGGGCTAGTGAAGATGCTTTATTTTTGGCTTGGTGGTAGGGATGTTTTGTTGATGGTAAGTGGCCACAGAAGTGGTTTTATTTAAGCAAGTGATGAACTTACGATTAGATACTAGGGTGAGGCTGAAAATACCTGGGTCCTGCAGTACCACAAGACTTCCTGTTAGAACAGCAAGGCCAGAGTAAGTGATTTAAGTTTTTATATTAAAATATTATTGGAAGAGAAATACTTTACTTTGTAAAGTTTTCACTTGGTAATGGAAAAATGGTCCTTTTTAAAAAAATAAAGGAATTCCTTTTTTATAGAATTTATGCACGATCTCTTATTTTGCCAAGAAAGCGGGTAAAGAACATGTGGTAGTTCACATACAATGGTAATGTAAGGTAGTAGAAGTGGATGGTGACAGGAAAAATTAAAGACTCTACATTCTGTTGTTGTAGCTTAAGGTAATATCAAACTATACGTTGAAGCAGTTTGTTGATTTATCTGTACAATCACTGAAGTCTATTTCAGGACTGGTTATACAGAACCCCTGTTTCCTGTCAACTGTGTGACTTTCTCTTAATTGTGACAGAAATTCCCCAATTATGCCTTCTGTTCCAAGCGGACACCAAGTGAAGTAATTGTCATGCATTTTGACACTGCAGTAAATGATTTCTTGGTATAGCATCTTGCAGCTGCCTAATACTTCAGGTCTTTTCAGGAAGGGCTTCTGCAATGTGGAAGAATCAGTTCTTTCCAGACTATCTGCAAAAAGGTCACAGTTTGATCTCTGTCTCCCTTAGGGACATCATGAAAATTGAGCAAATAATATCAGCCCATCAGAATTATCAAATGTAGGTTTGATTGTTTACACATTCCTTTTCCTGAAGTCTTATCTGACTTGACATCTTACAATGGATCAGTGATAAATTTGTGCAACTTTGTGACTCATGAATTTATTAATCATTACTTTCTCATTTTCAGTCATTTTCAGGTCACTGCACGTTAAGATCAAGTTGCTTTTTGTTGCCCTTATATCAAATGGAAAAGCAGAATAGAAATAAACATACAGTTTCGTAAAGTTTTCTTGTGTGGACAATTCCTCTTTGAAACAGCATATGTATACTTCCCAAATCAATGTAGCTGTAAGTATTTGTGTGGAAGCTGATGCAGAATCAAGTGAAGTATGTATTTAAAGTTTAGTAATTAAGCCATGCTAAATTCTTACAATGACATTTTACTTTCCTAATGGAAAATATCCGTATCCAAGATGCGGTAGGATGAAGTATACATAACTGCTTTTAGGGCACATTTACACTGATAATTAGGTTTGACATTTGTCATTTACATAGGCTGGACAGCAGAGACCAGAGGATAGGCAATCTGTAGCAGTTCTGCTTAAGTCAGGTAAGGATGTTTTTTTCTTTTTTTGCCCATCCCACCACTTTTCTCTTTCTACAAGTGGTTTGGAATTTGTGGGTCTTCTGGTGGTAGAGGCCACTTCTTTTATATTTAAAAGCAGATAGCACATCTCACAAGTGAAAACACAAGGAGCAGGCTCTGAGATAGGATACAGAGAGCTACCACAACTGTCACCCAGGCTTGACAGAGGGCAGCCTCAAGACTGGTGTTGCCTTGCCCTTGAAGCTAAATGCTATGTATTAGGTATACTCAATACAGTTCTATTCTATAAAATAGGAAATTAAGCATAAAATAGAAATTATAATTGCTGAATAGCTATTTCGGTCCGAGTTCAGCTTTTGAGTGTCCCAATTCCATGTTCACTTTAGGTTTCAGAAGCCAGAAACTTCTGAAGATTTAGTCTTGCAAAAGAACATCTATTTTGCTAGAAGATCTCTGCTAGACCTAGAGGAGGACATGAGGAAGATCACTGGTTTCAGTTGGTACGCAAAGCCTGTGTTCAGCTGAACCAAACAACCACAAGCAGTGTAAAATTATTCATGTTTTAGGTGTATCTAAGTACTTAGCTCTCTTTATGTGTCTTCTCCTGTCTAGTAGTGCACAGGAAGGGGAAGTAAACGCAGTGGATTACTTAAGTGCAGTGAAATGACCAGTATTCTCATACGATATGTGCTCCATGAATACACTAAAATAAGAGTACACATTCATTAGGAAGTTTCTACTGTCTTTCAGTGGATACTTCTACTTTTTCCTCCTATCTGATCCTTTTGTTCAGTGAGAAACTACTGTGTCTCTGAGGAAAATAAGGAAATCTTGCATTTGCTTCTAACGTAGAGTAGCTTACATCAATGCAGTGGAGAGTGGGTATCGCTCAGCAGTTCTGTTCAAAGCTGGAAGAAAAATAATTAGGAGCTTTAGAGGTTCTTGGGGGGGGTTGTATACTGGTTTGCCTCAAGTGTTTTTTTAATCTGTTCTTTGGTGTACAGAATAGCTCCCAAATTCAGTATTAGATTTCACTGCAGTAAATGAGACCTCCTTACCTCAATTCTTTTGTAATTAGCTTTAAAACGCTTCCTCCCTCCCCTCATTTCTGAAGCCTGTCATTACCGTAAGACGAGTCCAATAACTAGAATACCGATGCTTACATTTAGTGAAGTGTTTTACATACAGCAAAACCCTGGGCAGATTCTTAAGCCGCTCTATATGGAAGGAACTGACACCCCTTGTGAGATCACCCAGGCCCATGCCCAGTCTGCGCTTTAGAACCTGGTTCAAGATGTGTTCTTTGATTTAACAAAGCTTAGGTCATCTCATTAAACTGAAATTGCTCAGGAAAAAGCAGGGAGATGCAGAGAATCTCATACCGAGAAAAAGGAAAGGACTTGCATAGTAATGAAGTAGCTGATGGAGTTGCAGTAATAAGGCAGGAGAACAGGCTGCAGGAGCCACCCAGAGCTCACGCGGCAGCACATACTACCACAACCTGCGTGATCACTAGTGACAGGCAAGGAGCTAAATTATTGTTGTTCCATTAAGATACTAAAGCTTCTTCATGTAGCATTATGAAGGTAATTTTCTGTAGGCTTACTGGAGCCCACTATCTAAATGCTGTGTCTCTCTATGTGGTTACAGGCCAATGCCTAACCATCTGCAAACAGGGAAAATGCAACTCCAAAACACAACCTTGGTCTTGTCAGAAGAAAAACTGAGATGGAACAGAAGGAACGTTGCATAGATTTTCTCCCCCCCCCTTGCATTCAGTAAAGAATCAGCAGGCATGACAAGGTGGACTGAATCCGTTGAAGACAGTTTCTATTGATAGCAATCCTCAGGTCCAAATTTTACTCCATATTTTTGGAGCCTCTTCCTGAAAATAGTATCCAACACACAGAGAACTGTGCTAATTGTTGCATTTGAATTGCATTGAATTCTCTTAGTTCTTTAAATACTTGGTGTCTGTTAGGATTCAGCTGAGGTCTGATTTGCTTATAGCAAAGAAGTTACTGAGTTACTGCAGATAGTGGAAATCAGTGCCATCTAGTGACATTTCTTTCTGCCATCTTCAAATGATATCTCATCTTGAAATTAAATGCATATGCTCCTCCCTCTCCTAGTTATACGGTTTTAGATTAGGACTCTCATTCCTTCCCTTAGTAAATAGATATTTTATATTTACTTCGTATTTACTCTCCCTTGAAACATGCTTTTAAAGGAAAACTGGAATAGTTCAGTGTCTCAAATTCAGGGACTGATTTTCTCAAAAAATTAGAATATAAGGTACCATTTGGAGATCTAAAAGATCTCATTTAAGATCTCTTAATAATATCACAAAAATAAAAAAGCTCCCAGGAATGTCTCAAGGAGGTAATAAATTCTTAACAAGAAAACATGAAAAATTCAGATTCTTTGCCATCTTCAGGCAGATTCTCAAAAAAATCCCACCCCAAAAAATCCCACAACAACATTACTCCTAAGCAGAAAGGACATAAATGAAGTAATGAAGTGTCAGCAGTGATAGTAGAAGTCACATTTGCCAAAGCCTTTCTCAGAAAGGTGCTCCAAAATATAGATGAGTGTCCAAGATATTTACTATTAAAAACACAAAGAATCCTCACAAGCCATATACAGTATGAAGTACAGGGAATCCATGCACCTTCATGCCACTCTGACCCACCTTACCTCTCCCAAAAGGCTAATGTACAACAGTACCAGTCTTACAGTTCAGAATACTTCCACAAAGTTACCAACAAGGAATCATCCACCCAGAAAGCCAATCTCAAAACACCGCAGAGAACAAAACCCTGTATTATTAAAAAGCTTCAGTCAGTAGCAAAGGACTCAGCCCAAAACAGTTCTTCTAATAAGAATACAGAGATTAAGTAGCAACTACCAATATTACATTCCTAGCATAAACTTTGGATAACTCAACATCGATGCAAGCAGAAGTTACACAGCTGGGAAATGCATCCCTTAATGACCAATTTTACTATCTAAGCCAGCTGTGGATTCAGCCACTAGATGTCTTCCCCACACAGAAATGCAATCCGCGGTACTAGTCCGTAGTCTCAGGTGGAAGCATGCTGCGTGTGCAGTTATACTCAAGTAGTTTTCTTTCATAAATATTTTCCATTTCGGCTGGATTGTAATTTTTGTAAGGCTATTTCAGTTTCTCACAAACATCATTATGATTCTCCTGATCATCATGTACTTAGCCAGACACTTCCAACCATGAAATTTTGGAAAGCTGTTCAATTATTTTCTCCAAAACGTTACTTTGAAAAAATCCTGATGGATTTCATTTTTATTAGAGAATAATATGCATATTTTTTGTCTAGAAAGCTTGAAATATTTAGAATAGAATAGTTCAGCTGGAAGGTACCTACAACAATCAGCTAGTCCAACTGGATGACCACAAGTTAGAGCATGTTATTAAGGGCATTGTCCAAATGCTTCTTAAACATTGACAGGCTTGGGACATCGACCCCTTCTCTAGGAAGCTTGTTCCAGTGTTTGACTACTGTCTTGGTGAAGAAACGTTTCCTAATTTCAAGTCTAAATCTCCCCATTTTAATGTAGGATTTCATAACTGCATTAATTTCTTCCCTGGTTTCTATTTGTGGTTTTTGTGCTTGCATTATAAGCAATGTGATAATTGCTATATACAAAATCCCTGTTCAACCTTAGTTTGGCTCTAACTTTATGAAGAAACTCTGCATTGGCAGAATTTTTTGGGAAGGTTCAGCTAAATGGTTCAGTTTTAGAAATATTTAGGGGAAAAAGGTGTCGAGGACATGCTGAAAAAGAAACCACAAAATCCAAACCCAGATTACTTGGCCTTGTTATGAGGATGCTAAGACTAAATAGTAGAAGCAATCATCTCTTATAGTGCATATTACTGTAAAATAATCTAATGCAAATTGAGACTATTCAGACATGTTTCTGACATCTACCTGCTTGTGAATAGCAAATTTGTTCAGCTTCTTAATTTGTTAATGTTGAATTAGAGTAATACACAAGAACTGAGCAAGTTTAAGATACTGTTGTGCATCCTTTCTCTCTGCTATATCACTGCTTATAAAATCAAAGCCTCAATTGCAGAAGCATCTTTCAAAAAAAAAAAAAAAAAAAAAGTCTGCAGCTATGTTTGTTACACTTTAAGGTGAGCCAGAGAAGGGTGAAAGACGTTTTGCCTTGAATCGCAGAGGAGTTCTGAGATGATGTGAAATGATCAAGCAGTTCACGTTTCAACCACACAAAAAAAAGACAACTGGGTAACCCGTCAGATTTTTGCAAATACATTGCTTCCCCGCCCCTTTCAGCACTGTCTTGACAGAAGAACTAGAAAAGGGAATCAGCTCAGACATATACCCAGGGTAAACCTAACAGGCCATCTCAACTGCACTTTTTAAACCCGTGGAACCTCTTCTCTCTACCATCCCCAGAGAATGAAGGCTCCTCCACTCATGTTGATAAAAAGGATCTTACTGTACATCCTTCTAGTAATGCTGGCTGAGAGCAACCATCAAGTTTACGGTAAGATGTGGTCTTACAATTTAACCTGTCTGTAGTTATGAAACATCGTGGGGGGAGAACAGAAACCAAAGCAGTGCTTAGTGTACCTTGTATATAATCTGTGTCTTATTTTATTACCGTATCAGAGACTTCTAATTCAACTAAAGATGATGATCATAATAACTGAGAAATATTAGGTAATGGTCTAGACCAGAACTCTCGCACTCGGGGACCAAATACGTCCTGCTTTGTGGCCAAAGGCTCTGCCTTCAAGGGGTTTGGCAGCATTCAAGCCTCTGCTTGAAATCCAGGAATCCTACTAGGTCTGAGCTGGATCCAGCAAATTGTCCTTACCAGACAAGTGTACCTTCAATTATTTAACTTAACTCCATCTAATTTTCATCTCAATTTCGACTTTGAACTCCACAGTTTTTAACTAGAGAGGTTCTCCTAATTTAGACTGATGTGAGAACTACACAGTGCCCAGTATATTCCTAACTTTTTTACTGCAGATTATTTTGTTTCAAGTTCCGCCCTGCTAATATCATATAGGAGACACAAATCTTAGTATTGAAAGGAAGGCAGTCGTACAGAAAGGATATACTCTACTGTAATGGATGCGCTCAGCTGCTGTTGACACATTTCCGACATCAACTGGTAAATTGATCAAAATAACATTTGTTACAAGGCACTGCTAAAATTACACAAACAAATTGAATTGGCTGTGTGAAGCTTAGTTGACATGCATGACTAACTCTGCAAATATATAGCATCTTTTGACACTCCTTGTTTTTATGAATAAAGCACATTATTAATACTAATAGGAAAGGTTAAACAAGCATTCAGAGCATCTGCCTGGGAAGGGAAACCCAAACATTTAGCTTAAAAGACATGAATTACCAGGTCAATTAGATGCAGCTGTTTCTTAATCAGGGTGTGATCTGAGCTCGGGGCAGCTACTGAACTGCTTTACGTTTGATTTTCAAATGAATAAACTAACATGCTTCTGAAGGGGGTGTATCTAGAGCTGATAACCTCCTTTGTACCCTAAATGGAAGTATCTTCTTTTCTTGTAAGAGTTAGCTACTGTTTCTATTCACTTTATTATGTCTGCCTGTGCTATTAGTCCCTCACACAATCACCTCTCTGCATCTTCCTGTATAGTTAATACACAGACGAACCCTCCGTACTCATCTGCCAGGATCCTAGATATTGTTTTTAAAACAGAAAGTAATTTCTGTTATGCTACTAACAGCATGTATCTTGTTTACACAGAATTTATTTTAGTAGGTTTTATTTTTTTGATCTACATCAGAACTACTTGGGTTCCTCTGAGAACAATGCTATTTCTTTCTATATACCTATATTACTACAAATATCAGAATCATGTTTATAGGAGCATTACAGAGAGAAAACTTTTGCAAGTCAATCTCTACAGAACCATGATGTAAATGTTTTTTTAATGTAATTACATTTTAGCCATAAGTTTTCCAAGCTTGTTTGGTTTTTATTTTGAAGTAAGCTGAAAATTGAAGCCAAATTATTTAAGCTTTGTACATTGCAAATCTATCCAAAGTTTCCCTTACTCCTAACAGAAACAAAGTCAACCACTTGGATTTCATACACAAAGACAATAACCAGCAAATCTTTTCTAAATTGGGAAAGGAGAAGTGAGCTTGTTTCTGATAAGTCACAAGCAGAAGGACCTTCTCCCCACCTCACCCCAGTAACTTTATTCCAGTTAGACCCCGTCTCCTTTGTAACACCAAAGAACGGTTTGTTCCCATGCGGTCTCACAAAGAGTGGTCCTTGCTGCCTGGACAGCATATGCGAAGTGAACAAGGCATTTCATCCCAATGAAAGTAAAACCCAGCAAACCTGCCCTCGCTCCAAGAAGCCCCAGCCAGTACCTGAGCATGCGCGCAGGTGCCCACGGATGGCGGGCACGGTGCTCGGCTCCGATAACGCCCTGCTGTTAGACCTTCCGTGGGACAGCCTGCACGTGCTAACGTTCGGCTAAACAGAAACGTTCCGTCTTCAAGTTTCAGTCATCAAACTATAAAGGCATGTTTTCTGGACTTACACAGCTTTCGTCAAGAAGTAGTTAAAAAATGACGCAACTCTCTGTCAGCTACCTCAGCAAGCAGGTCAGCTTTACAAATATTAGCACTGTCAGAAAAAAAACCCCACAGAAAAACAACAAGAAACCCAGAGAATCCTTCACTGTACACCAAGTAAATAGAAAAAGTACCTTCCTGTATCTCTCAGGTGACATGGGAAAAATTGAGAGACAGAGAATGAAAATTAAATTTCTGTTAGTGAAATGACATCCTCAAAAAATCCAAATTGTGATATAAATATGTAAAATGACTAAAATAAAATTTGACATCATTCCTTGAAAAGCCTTCCCTAAAGCTCGGAGAAGTCTGAAAAAGGCCTATCCATGTATCACTTAATATGTCTTCTGAAGCACTTCTCTTTCCAAATACACCTGACCTAAATTCAAGAAGGGAGCATATTTTTCCATGAGTCCTCCTCACAGCCCATTTCCTTTTTCATTGTTAAAATTAACAAAGTCATGAAGATCTCAGCGTTAAATGTGAAACTCCAACAAATCAATGCCCTTTCTGGTGTAGCTTTTGTGCTATGGCCCTAGTCAGAAACTTCCCAGAACATTGGACCCGGGTTAAAACCGTTACTAGTGCTTCACTGTGTTCACAGACAGACCCAAACGTAGGATTCAAAACTAACTGTAGACATTTATTTGGGGGGAATAATTGACATTTTATACCTCAGCCATTATCTGCCTCAGAGAATGATACATATGACTTGTATTCTATCCCATCCCTTGTTCCTTTTTTTTTTTTTAAGGGGAGGAGAGAAGGAAAAACAAAGTAAAGATAAATCCCTTTGAAAACAAATGCCTCTAAAATTTCAGTTAATAAAGCCCTGGTTTGCTGGAGTTGTTCCAAGTTCTTAGATGACCAGGTGTGAATGACACCATTTATAATTCAAAGACTGGAAGGCTCAATTTTTAGCTATTATTTTTCTACTAATGGGTTGAGTTCGGTAAATGGAAAGCCATCTCCATTAAACCTCTTTTGTTTGCTTAATGAGTCATGTCATGACTATGTTTTCTAGAAAATAAGAATGAGAAAAAAATTAAAATAATTTTTTGTAAAAGAAAGTATCGTCATGGGTATTTCCCTATTGTACAAATTATGGAATACATGCTTCCATTTGAAATCCTTGTCCTGGCCGTACACTGTACGGAAGGTTTTCCTTACCTGTGCAAATTAATTCTTGGTGCAATAGAGCCTGGCTTCTCACAGTCTGTTCAGGAACACGCTCTCAAGTGATCTAAAAGAAAATGCACGTTTAGTCAATCTGAATCTTACCAAGGAGTGCAGGTTTGAAGCTGATGTATAAAGCTTCTATATGTTACAGATTCTTCTACCCTCTTGAAAACTGCACATTCAGATTTTCATCATGACCACCCATATATGTGACACTGAAAACTTAAGACTCAGTATAAGACCTTGTAACTGGTTGCAGGTCTCAGCTCATAAGAGTGTTAAAGAAAGAGTAGTTAAATTTATCTTGGAAAGTCCTTGCACATACAGAATATAATTGGCAGACAGTGTCTCTACCATTGACTCTGGGCCCCTCACTACAGGAAAGACATGGAGGTGCTGGAGCGTGTCCAGAGAAGGGCAACCAAGTTGGTGAGGGGCCTGGAGCACAAGTCTTATGAGGAGCAGCTGAGGGAGCTGGGGCTGTTTAGTCTGGAGAAGAGGAGGCTGAGGGGAGACCTCCTCGCTCTCTACAACTACCTGAAAGGGGGTTGTAGTGAGGTGGGTGTTGGTCTCTTCTATCAAGTAACTAGTGACAGGATGAGAGGAAATGGCCTCAAGTTGCGCCAGGGGAGGTTTAGATTGGATATTAGGAAAAATTTCTTCACTGAAGGGGTTGTCCAGCACTAGAACAGGCTGCCCAGGGATGTGGCAGAGTCACCATCCCTGGAGGTCTTTAAGAAGACGCGTAGATGTGGTGCTCAGGGACATGGTTTAGTAGGCATGGTTGATGGTTGGACTCGATCTTAAAGGTCCTTTCCAACCTAAATGATTCTATAAGCCACAGGAGGTAGCATATAGAAAGACGTTACACTGTCACAGGAAAAGTACACCAAGCTACGTTTGTGCTCATTCATTAACTGAAGTTTATGTTTGTCTTTCTAATGACAACCAATGAAAAGAAAAGGTTCTCTCTCATTATCAGGTGTGTTGATCTTTTTTTCCCCTGTTAAAAAAAAAAAAAAAATCCCTCCTTCTCTAGGATATTATGGTTTATATTGTTATTTAATCCCAAATCTCCACTGACCCCTATTCTTGCCAAATGGCCCTTACAGGAAATCTGTGAAAGATATTCTAAAAGATTGCCTTAAATATTTTATTCTATATAAAAAAGTTCCCAAATATTTTTGTTTTTAAAAGGATTTTCTCCACTGCTTTTTATCCACTTAAAGTTTCTTGCCAGGCGAGGTGCCAGAGAATAAAAGGCCAGATTATAGGAAAAGGCTTTCTCTAGCCCAGATTTTTAGTTATTGAAGTTCAAAATAATTCAAACTAAGAATTTCCCAAAGCCTGAGAAAAAATGTTTAACTCTTATTCACTCATCTCTTCTGTTCTAGAAAGTCCCCAAATAGACAATAACATTTGCCAAGGACTAGGTTTCTTCCTAGCAAAAATTTGAAAAACTAAAGCTCGAGTCAGTCAGTCATCAGTTATTAACAAGTCACAGAAACATACAAAAGCAATGGTGATTATTTTTCATGCTCCAAGCATTGTCTTGTAACTATTAAAAAATAATAATAATTAAAAGGCAGCCTGAAGTCCAATTGCTTTAAGCCTCTGAAAGGAAGGCCCTTTTGCAGGCTCTGAAGATGGTCTACAAATTCTCATACACACTGAAAGGCAAGCAGTAGCTCATATAGCTCCTGGTTAGGAAGTTCAAAAGATTGC